CCTTAAACCCTGTATGTAACACTCTCCTCAACCCTCCACTCAGTGCACAGCACACCCATATACTCTGCACTCTGTAAATAGTGCACCTCTGAACCCTGCACTCTGAATGTAGTGCACCACTGAACTCTGTACTATGTAAATAGTGCATCCATGAACTCTGCACATAACATACTCCTGGTATTATAAGTGACTTGATCCTCATAAGATCAAAAGTAAATACTAATTGTGTCTGAAAGTGACCTGATCCTCTGGGGATCCTCTTGTGAAGAAAGTGAATAACAATCCACTACGGGATTCAAAGTGATACCAATAATTAAAAGTGTCTATACCAATGATCTCGCAAAGTGGGTACATATATGAATTGATCCTAAATAGGATCTAAGGTGATGGTGAACACTCAAACAATATAAGATAGAATAGTCCAACTGAGACTGATACATAAACACTGTCCAAAATTAGGACTGAAGGCGAAAGAAAAACGCACATAAATCCAGGAAAAACTCCTTATTACAATACTAACCAAAGAATACCCCCAAAAACAAATGTCTAACCAAACATAAAAAAATTGTGTGAAACAAAATAAATCACACGTGACAATAAACACTGAAGTGAAATAACTGTGTCACACTAGGTGTGACAAACATGCATAAAAAATAAACGCATGACACTTATAAAAAATATATAAAAGTGAACAAAATGTCCAAATTGGTGTTTAAACACCACGTAGTCCAATATATAAAGCACACATGCAAGTGGATAGTGGATGTACGTGATCACATAAGGATATCCACAGATAGCTGAAATACCCGTTCACCTCCTTGCTTCGACCCGCAAGGGCCAAAACACCTGTAGGATCACCAAACTGGATCCTCCATGTACAAGACTCCTCTGTCACTGCACACCTCTCCCTGCAGCGATCTCCCCCTCAGGAATAAACGTAATAGTGGCGAACTCCTCTCCAGGTATATAGGTGTGGTATAGCCAGTTTCTCTGGGGCCCCAATCACCTCTGAGCAGTACAGACAACCCCAGCACATGCCTGTCCCATCTTCTGCTCACTGTGAACCAGTTTTTTTTTTTTTTTTTTTCTTGGGAGAGTGCTTGTGATCACCATGGGGCCAATCAGCACTGTCCAAACAGAGGTCAGGGGATTTCCATCCTCCTAGAGCAGAATGAAAACTCCTCCTACAAGCTTTAGCTAGTTCTGGGCTGGACACAGATAGAAGCCACAAGACTACTCTAACTGCTGATTGCTAAAATAATTGCATTTCCATGTTCTGTGTTTTGTGGGAGACCAGATATAGTGAATGCAGGGTCATGGGTTTAGTAACACTTTAATAGCTGCTTATTAAATTAAAATATGCAAATACACTGTAGTTCATCCAGCTGATCAAGCACCATCACACTGCCTGTGCTAAGACAGACTTTATACTATGTCATTCTGGCCCGTGGCATTCCATTGGCAGGGATGGAATGGGGGGGGGGGATATACCCTAAGCAAAACAAAGGAGAGTATGCTTCAGATGAGTACCAATGGAATGAAAAATGTGAATATAAAAGATTTGTGTTGACATCTTATGGAGTCAGCTGAAGGATCATGTTGTGAGTTTAGTATTATAAATTTTCCTGTAGGAATAATTTAAATGTTATAACAAATAGGACACATTGTTTTGTGAGTAAGAAATATTCAGTTCTTAGTAGAAGAGTGATAAATGAATTTGCTTACATCAAAGAGCTGCTGCATATGTTCTCATTATTTAGGTCTCTTGGTTACATGCTTGGATCACACCCACGGTGTGAAATCTGCACCTGTGTTATTTCAGGAAAAATATCCAACAGCTTTCATTAGTGATTATTTTCTAAATTAGGGTCCTTTTCATCTAACGCTGTTGCGACTGTCTGTGGATAGAGAATCTGTGCTTTATCCTAATAACTCTGAAAATGGTATTTGGCCAGAATTATGTAGGACGCTATCTTGCAGATGGTACATGTGTACAGAGCTGTAACAGGGTTTTTAAACTAAAACGTACATTGCATTTTTTTCCTCCTTATATCAATATTTAATTCAATGTAATTGTTTAAATGGTGAAATAATTACAGCTAGTATTCTCAGAGGGGATTTTTGTTAGCTTGCAAAATGTGTTAATATTTTTTATATTGCTATTTATATCATATATATTTAAACATTTAAAGACTAAGTTCACCTTTTGGAACATGGAAAATATTACATGTTCCAGCAGTTACAGCCTCTCCCCCCTCTGTGACAATGAGCAGGGGATCTTCTCCCCGTGACCTCTGTCACTATTTAAAATTAACGCAGCTGTGCTGGGCATAGCTTCCTGTGAATGCATGAACTACAACTACCATCAGCCACTGCAGCTGACAGCTTGAAGTTTTGCATGGACTGTGGGGTCGCTGATGAGCAGCCTTGTAGTTCATACATAAGCCCTGCAGTCCAGGGGCAGCTTGTCTTCAGGAGTCTGGCATTGACCATCCACTTTGGAAACTTGGGCACTTCCCGAGGGCCCGGTCCCTGGGTCAGTAGGGGGCCCCATGAGATGCCCATGGTACCTTTTTCATAGGCTTTTTTGAGTTTGGGCAAGGACACAGGGGCCCCATGATCCCCTATTGCCCGGGGGCCCCATGAGTTGTCAGTCCGCCCCTGACCAGGCCCCTTAGGGAAAAATAATAAATGCACATTTTTTCCTGCAAAAATATGCGCATTTACTATTTTTTCCCAAAATGTGAAATTTTCCTTTAATTCATTCAAAACTCAGTTTTAGCACAATGATAATAAATTGTATTGCCTATCAGATCTTCAAAGATCTAGGTGGACATTTTTATTTTCAATTCTACCTAATTGCTGTGGTAGTTATAAGATGTCTCCTTGAATTCACCATTTAGTTTACATTGTAAAGCAATGCATTCATCAAGAGGTGTGATGCTCTATTGGAGGAAATGGGGAGGTATAGAGATACTGCCCCCTCCTCAACACTACCCTCCTCCCCCCCTTCCCCAATGGAGCATCACACCGCTTGCTGAATGGATTGCTCCACAATGTAAACTAAATGAAAACTCCAAGGAGACATCATCTTCTCTTCTCCAATGGGGAGGACGTAATGCTTGAATGCCTGTAAAATAAATGGTTTAACAAAAGTAAAGCTCAAGTGAAATAAGCATATACCTGAATAATAGGCACTGCCAGGTGCCAGTCCATATAACATTTTAGGAATTCTGTCACTACAGTGCTCTCTGGTTGCCTCTGAAATATGGGACTTTGCAGATTTTAAATTTTGACTTTCCATGTCCATGCTATAGAATGTGCCGAGCACAACCCACAATGCAATGCAATTTTCATGTCAATATAAGCTCACCATCATTCTTGGTAGAGATATGCACACAATTGTGTTTGCAAAAATGTGAACAGACAATTTCATATGCAGTATATTTTTTATATAATTCTATGAGCTTAGTAACATAGGCATTAAGGCTCAGTTCACACTACTGCGGGCCACGCGGCTCGCATTTGCTCAAGCACAGCACCCCATTCATTTGCATGGGCTGTTGTGCATGTGTATCCCACACAAAAAAAGGTGCATTCACCTTTTTAAAAAAGGCGTCTTTTTGAACATGCGTTTTCCCTGGAGCACCCGCAATCATGTTGTGGGCTGAGATGCATGGGGGTGTCATTCAGAATAAATGACAGCCCCACTTGTTTTTTAAGAGCAACACAATTCGGCTGCAGGTGGTTGCCGGTTCGGGAACAGATGAGATTCTCGCACCCGCAACCAGCCCACGTAGTGTGAACCAGGGCTAACTCATGACTGCTTTTGAATAAAAATATGCTGTTAAAAATTTTATGTCATACAGTACATAGTAGGTCAACATTGAAAGCAAAAATCATATACAACTATGGCAATGAAAGTGTTTGCAAAGGCAAACGTTTGCTTTGAGTAGAATATGAGTAGGTGGGAAAAGTTAAATCCCCTTATTCCCTTTGGTTATTTCTTGCTTTTTCTATCCCATTGGGGAGATTCTCCTTCACTCCCTATCCCAGAGACACATCAGGAAGTGAGGGGACATCTATACAAAATGAGGGAAATTGCCCTTAGACATTTGTCAAAAGAACAGGTGTCCCAGTTGCAAGATTTACCCACAGTTCTGATGACAACTGTATAATTTTTTTTACATCACTTTCCACCACAATGACCAGCAGGAAAACAAAGATGGTGAAATATCTCCAGTGGGAACACAAACAGAAATGAAAACTACAGGGGAACTAACACTTTATTTTACATTTCTTCAGTTACTTCCTGGTTTCCATGCTTAGACAAGTGATGCCATACATCCCAGGGGTATTCAGGAGGGGTTTTATTAGCTAAGCACACCCTCCTGCCTGCATGCCTGAGCTAAGAGCAGATTAATTCCAGGAAGTAGATGCTACTTGAATCCTCCGCAAGATGGCTATGGCCGGAAATGCTAGGGGGTGTTTTTCAAAGTGATTTCTCAACAAAATAAAGCATGGAGACATGGAAGGATGGGGAAATTTCTTTTAATATTAAAAATTAATTAAACAGCATTTTTGGTTTGTGGTGCTCAGATGCAGTGAAGTTCCGCTTGAAATTGGAGTCATAGCCAAAACTCTTTTTTTTCAATGCCATTCTGGGCCTGAAATGGAGAGCTGTACATTTGACAGTTTTTATGACAATATACATTACTGTAATCATGCAATGCAATCTTGGATTTTACGAAAGTTGTAGGTTAGGGCAGTATTTTCTATATATTTCACATTATAGGATTGTGTTGAGGAACTCAAGCTTATGCTACATTAATCACACACTTTTGGATTTTGTTTTGTCAGATCAACAAAAGTTTTCTACTGTGTAGTGTGAAATTCTGCCTGATGTACAATAATTTGAATAAAATGTGTTTATGTAAGTCCTAATAATAATAATAATAATATAATAACTAGTTAGTTATTGGCATTTGATATGTATTTTTATGTAATAAGCATATGACAGCATTCTAAAACTATGATATTTTTACAGACAGAAGGTTCCAGGCTACAGAGGGAAATGCGTGCTTACTTGGCTGCCATTAAGGGTGAGTTGTTCAATAAATTATTTTATATGGTGGCAAATCACTATGACTACTCAAAAATGTACCTGGAGCCCCAGTGGACACAAAAACAATGCCCACCTATTGATGCAAGGGGCACAGGTTCTACCAAAGGACACATGAACTTACAGTGCACCCAGAAAGTATTCACAGCGCTTAACTTTTGCCACATTTTGTTATGTTGCAGCCTTATTCCAATACGGATTAAATTCATTGTTTTCCTCAACATTCTACAAATAATAACCCATAATGACAACGTGAAAGAAGTTTGATTTGAAATCTTTGCAGTTTATTAAAAAAAAAACATAAAAAAGTGGTAGGACATCACAGATTTTCACTTGATTCAGTCATATTACAGATATTTTATTAATTCAGCTGTAACAGAGTTGACAAATGTCCAGAAACTGAGTTTGAATAGGTGGCTGGGGCCTGGAAATCAGATGAATTAAAGCATAGCTGGTAAATATGCTCTTTTACAGCTCTTGTGGACTTGTGTGCAGATAAGGGGCGGACAGCTGTCACATTACCAGACCTCAAAGGGATGCTATAGACCTGTTGGCCTTAGAATTTTTAGGGGGCCAAGGCTGTCCCATACTGGAGCAGAGATGCAAACACTAATTTTCTTAAGATCAGTAGGACTTTCTTTTATATCTCAAGCCATAAATATTAGTTGCAGGGAGGTTAAACCGATTCTCTCTGATCGTCTGTATCATGGTCTATAAACCAATACAAATTGTTATGTCCTGGTTGTACAGAACCACATAGGACCAAACATAATGGTTATAGGTCCTGCTTGCAGAAGCAATGCAATTTATTGCTGTGTGGTGTCTTGTGCTTAGACTGATGTGTTAAATCCTAACCCTGACCCAGCCATCAGAACCAGCTAGTCCATATAACCTACAGTATGCCCACAGATTTGTTTATTTTTAGTGTTGTCCTTAAAGTGGTATGGAAAGACCCTCTACCCACTGTATGGCTGTGTGTGTTTGTTTTTTATTTACATTGAGACACAGCCCCATGGCAGTGTTCAATAGCCTGTGCTTTTTTTTAGACAGTAGTTTGTCTATTAGCCAGTTAATAAAAGACGTCCCCTTCCCCCACACACACACACGCACCCTTCCATAGACGTCAATGGATTACACTGCTAAATTCAGTGTAATCCATTTTGGTCATCATCTATCTATCTATCTATCTATCTATCTATCTATCTATCTATCTATCTATCTATCTATCTATCTATCTATCATATCTATCTATCTATCATATCTATCTATCTATCTATCTATCTATCTATCTATCTATCTATCTATCTATCTATCGTTATCTGCCATATACATTTGCAAGAAAAAGTATGTGAACCCCTTGGGATTACGTGGAGTTTTGCATTAATTGGGCATAAAATGTGCTCTGAACGTCATCTAAGTCACAACACGAGAAGAACACAGTCTGCTGAACATAATACTACACAAACATTAGATGTTGCCATGGTTTAATTGCACATAACGTAAACATTCACAGTGCAGGGAGGAAAAAGTATGTGAACCTTTGGACTTAATAACTGGTTGACCCTCCTTTGGCAGCAATAACCTCAACCAAACGTTTCCTGTAGTTGCAGATCAGACCTGCACAAAGATCTGGAGTAATTTTGGACCACTCCTCTTCACAAAATTCTTTCAGTGTAGCAATATTCTTGAGATGTCTGGTGTGAATCGCTCTCTTAAGGTCATGCCACAGCATTTCAATCGGGTTGAGGTCAGGACTCTGACTGGGCCACTCCAGAAGGCGTATTCTGTGCTGTTGCAGCCATTGTTTTGTTGAATTACTTGTATGCTTTGGGTCATTGTCCTGTTGCATCATCCATCCTCTGCGGAGCTCCAGTTGGCGGACAGATGGTCGTACGTTTTCCTGCAAAATGTCTTGATAAACTCTGGAATTCATTTCCCATCAATGACAACAATCCGTCCAGGCCCTGAGGCTTCAAAGCAGCCCCAAACCATGATGCTCCCTCCGCCATGTTTTACATGGGGGATGAGGTTTTGATGTTGGTGTGCTGTGCCTTTTTTTCTCCACACATAGTGTTGTGTGTTCTTCCCAAACAACTCAATCTTGGTTTCATCTGTCCACAGTATATTTTGCCAGTAGTGCTGTGGAACATCCAGGTGCTCTTTTGAAAACTTCAAACGTGCTGCAATATTCTTTTTGGACAGCAATGGCTTCATCCGTGGTGTCCTCCCATGTACTCCATTCTTGTTTAATGTTTTCCTTATTGTAGATGTGTCAACAAAAATGTTAGCGTGTGCCAGAGATTTCTGTAGGTCTTTAGCTGACACTCTGGGATTCTTCTTTACCTCATGCAGCATTCTGCGCTGTGCTCTTGCAGTCATTTTTACAGGACGCCTAGGGAGAGTAGCAACAGTGCTAAACTTTCTCCATTTGTAGACAGTCTGTCTTACCATGGACACATGAACATCAAGGCTTTTGGAGATACGTTTGTAACCCTTTCCAGCTTCATGCAAGTCAACAATTCTTGATCGTAGGTCTTCTGAGAGCTCTTTTCTGCGAGGCATGGTTCACATCAGACAGTGCTTCTTGAAACCAGTAAACCCAAAACAGGTGTGTGTTTTTTAAGGGCAGGACAGCTGTCAGCAACACATCCAATATCATCACACTGATTGGAGTCAAGGTTGGCTCACTCCTGGCTCTAATTAGCTCTGGGAGAAGTCATTAAGCTAGGGCCTCACATACTTTTTCCTCCCTGCACTGAGAATGTTTACATGTTATGTGCAATTAAACCATGGCAACATCTAATGTTTGTGTAGTATTATGTTCAGCAGACTGTGTTCTTCTATTGTTGTGACTTAGATGACGTTCAGAGCACATTTTTTGCCCAATTCATGCAAAACTCCACGTAATCCCAAGGGGTTCATATACTTTTTCTTGCAACTGTATGTATCATATCTTTACAAACAGCTATACACAGTGGTAATTTATTAGAGTATGCAATTTTTCTAGTCATGTAAAATATATGGAGAGCATGATGCAACTGGTGTGTGATGGATACATACAGTGGGGCAAAAAAGTATTTAGTCAGCCACCAATTGTGCAAGTTCTCCCACTTAAAAAGATGAGAGAGGCCTGTAATTGGCATCATAGGTAGACCTCAACTATGAGAGACAAAATGAGAAAAAAAATCCAGATAATCACATTGGCTGATTTGGAAAGAATTTATTTGCAAATTATGGTGGAAAATAAGTATTTGGTCAATATCAAAAGTTCATCTCAATACTTTGTTATATATCCTTTGTTGGCAATGACAGAGGTCAAACGTTTCCTGTAAGTCTTCACAAGGTTGGCACACACTGTTGCTGGTATGTTGGCCCATTCCTCCATGCAGATCTCCTCTAGAGCAGTGATGTTTTGAGGCTGTCGCTGGGCAACACAGACTTTCAACTCCCTCCAAAAGGTTTTCTATGGGTTTGAGATCTGGAGACTGGCTAGGCCACTTCAGGACCTTGAAATTCTTCTTACGAAGCCACTCCTTCGTTGCCCGGGCAGTATGTTTGGGATCATTGTCATGTTGGAAGACCCAGCCACGTTTCATCTTCAATGCCCTTGCTGATGGAAGGAGATTCGCACTCAAAATCTCACGATACATGGCCCCATTCATTCTGTCCAGTACATGGATCAGTCGTCCTGGTCCCTTTGCGGAGAAACAGCCCCAAAGCATGATGTTGCCACCCCCATGCTTCACAGTAGGTATGGTGTTCTTTGGATGCAACTCAGCATTCTCTCTCCTCCAAACAATTCTATTTTGGTTTCATCTGACCATGACATTCTCCCAATCCTCTTCTGGATCATCCAAATGCTCTCTAGCAAACTTCAGACGGGCCCGGACATGTACTGGCTTAAGCAGGGGGACACGTCTGGCACTGCAGGATCTGAGTCCCTGGCGGCATAGTGTTTTACTGATGGTAGCCTTTGTTACGTTGGTCCCAGCTCTCTGCAGGTTATTCACTAGGTCCCCCCGTGTGGTCCTGGGATTTTTGCTCACTGTTCTTGTGATCATTTTGACCCCACGGGGGTGAGATCTTGCGTGGAGCCCCAGATCTAGGGAGATTACCAGTGGTCTTGTATGTCTTCCATTTTCTAATTATTGCTCCCACAGTTGATTTGTTCACACCAAGCTTCTTGCCTATTGCAGATTCAGTCTTCCCAGCCTGGTGCAGGTCTACAATTTTGTTTCTGGTGTCCTTCGACAGCTCTCTGGTCTTCACCATAGTGGTGTTTGGAGTGTGACTGTTTGAGGTTGTGGACAGGTGTCTTTTTATACTGATAACAAGTTCAAACAGGTACCATTGATACAGGTAATGAGTGCAGGACAGAGGAGCCTCTTAAAGAAGAAGGTACAGGTCTGTGAGAGCCAGAAATCTTGCTTGTTTGTAGGTGACCAAATACTTATTTTCCACCATAATTTGCAAATAAATTCTTTACAAATCAGCCAATGTGATTGTCTGGATTTTGTTTCTCATTTTATCTTTCATAGTTGGGGTCTACCTATGATGCCAATTACAGGCCTCTCTCATCTTTTTAAGTGGGAGAACTTGCACAATTGGTGGCTGACTAAATACTTTTTTGCCCCACTGTATACAAGACACAGCATAACAAAATCACTAACTTGACTGAACTTGTGTGCAATTGAAAAAATCTGGTAGAACCATAAACTTTAGAAAATATTGAGTGACATGTGATTTTATCTTAGTCAATTTGAGAGTGTATTTTAAAGTTTAAATAAGAATACAATTAATCATAAGGACTTTTCACTACTGGGAGATCCACTGAAGTGAAACTCATTTTTATTGAGAAAAAAAAATCTCAAGTAGGTGATCTGGGCACATTTTGCAAGGAGTTTAGCAAACTTTGTAGCGGAGTCCTACCGTTTTCTGTTCTAAAGAAAAAGCTGTTTGTTCCACTATGTCCTTGCAATA